TTGGTAGCTGCTTCTAACATAGGTTTCTCTCTATTAATACAGGGCGGATTCTAATCACTCACTGGTCAGTCATATCACTTTACAAGCAAGCATACATTATTAGCACAGGGCACAATAATCTGTATGCAGTTACATAAACTATATGCATTAGATCCTTATGAAGCCTAATTTCAGAATGGGACTACAGTAAATCAGATCATATTTTCATTTTACATTAAATCTGTTCTGTCTTTACACAAGACAGAACAGATTTAATTATTTATTAGCATTTTATTGGATTTAGATGACCCTGCGTGACTTACCTGTCGAAAGTACTGTGTTTCCCGGAAAATAAGACCCAACTGGAAAATAAGCCCTGCCTCAAAAATAAGCCCCACTTAAGATCATCAGACAGACAGACACATTTAGTACCGTATTTGCCCGAAAATGAGACCTAAACGGAAAATAAGCCTTAATGCGTCTTTTGGAGTAAAAATTAATATAAGACCCAGTCTTATTTTTGGGGAAACACAGGTAAGAAACCATAAAGTGAAGGGGGAAAATGTACATCTGGAAAAAGAAAACATTCCAACGCACCAGGGGAAAAAGCGAACAGAGCTTAGAGAAACCATCTTAACCCCAGCCATGGAGCAAATTCAGGTTTTCAGAAAATCTGGAACAACTAGAAGGATACTGTTCCTGAGGCCAGGGTGCCAAAACAGAGAATGCATACTTCCCAGGTCCTAATAAGTGATATTGTTTAAATGAAGGGACTTGTGAGTGCTACAGTCTAATCTTACTGAGAGAACAAATAGCTGGTCCCTCAAATAACCATGTCCTAATGCCATGAAGGACTTTCTGGGTCATAACCAATACCTTGAATTCTCCATAAAAACCAGGTGGCAATCACTGCAGCTCATGAAGCAGCGGTGTCACATGGCTGTAAAAAGGCAAACTCACCACTGCTTATGTTATTGCATTCTGGACCAGCTCTAACTTCCAAATGGTCTTTGAGAACATCCCCATGTAGTTTATTGAAGTAGTCCATTTGTGAGGTGTTTAGGGGATGAATAAGTGTCTGAATGGCATCCTACTCTAGGAATGGATACAATTGGTGCACCATATGTACCTGTGCAAAGATCTTCTTGACCACAGCTGCCACCTGCCCTTTGAGCAGATGGATCTAAGCCTTTTGTTCCAGATCTAAAGTTTCTATGAAGACCTGCTTTCATACTTTACCTGGAGCTCTGTCTCTGAAGCATATACTGTAAAGCTCCGTCAGCTGCATCCACTTCTTACATCTTTTTCTTTTGTTGATGAATGGACACAGCAAATCAGAGAGAAATTTGCAATCAACTCACCTTGTGGTGAGATGGGCAGCAAATAAATTTAACTGAATGAATGAATGAATGAATGAATGAATGAATGAATGAATGAATGAATGAATAAAACTACATACAAAAATCATCTTAAATTAGCCTGTCTAAAATCTGGCCTGGCTATTCCTTAAGAAAAGCTGGCTTTGCTGCAAATTGTATTCATTTCTGTTCCTCTCATTCAAAATAAGCCTCTGATCCACTTTCTATGAATACTATTCAAAACTGCCTAGCATCCATTTATTCATTCAATTTATACAGCTGTCCATCTCAAATACATAGCAATAGCACTCAGACTTATATAGTGCTTTACAGCCCTCTCTAAGTGGTTTACAGAGTCAGCATATTGCCCCCAACAATCTGGGTCCTCATTTTATCATGACTCTGGACAGCTAACAACAAATAAATACAAGATTAAAACACCCTTTCTCAAAAAATTATAAAGAACATATACAGCAACCAACACAATTAACATAACCATGATACAGGTTCAACTATGTTCTCAGAGCCCTAGATTTTATCAACAAAACCATGTTTATAGAAATCCAACAGGACTGAGGCAAATCTAATTTCTAGGGCAACAATTTTCCAGAGAGAGGTGTCACATCTGGGTACTGCCAGATGACCCTCCCTGCAACCCAATGCCTTTCCTTCTGAATTAACAGGAAAAGTAGATGTAACAATAGACAGACCTGCACTATTTTGGTGGGGAAAATATTTACAAGCCCTTCGAACAATTCAATTTTAAAGCAGAATATACTGAAAACTCCTACAAACTTCTGCAATATATAGCCCACTTAATAGTCCCAGGATAATTTAACCTACTCAGAAATTTGTTTTCATTCTAATATAAAAGGGAAGAAAAGTTATTAAGTACTTCTGATTACCTCCATGGCCTCCTCGAGCAGACTGGGAATATACAAACCTCAAAGTGGATCAGATGGTCTTTATGCACCATAATATTCAGTGTGTTCTCTAAACACATATAAATTCCAATCACAATATAGTCTGGCACAGATATTCAAAAATTGAACCCTAGAATGTGGTACGTATTCCCCCGCAAGTGCCCATGTTAGAGGCAATCTGCTGGTGATAGGTAACCTTGCTGTCAGTCTTGTCTGTCATTATTGATTTACACCAAAGAAGATTTCTTAGGAAGTGGTTTACTTCCAATATAATTTGAAAACCACTTCAACTGAAACGGACGGATTACAGCATGTATAATCAGTTACTGCAGTATGAGTGTTCCCTAGATCCCAGATCAGAAGGGAAAAAACAGAACTAAAGGGTAATTTTCAGAATGGCGTTCTTTACAACATATTTATTTGCTGACCGTTCAGCTTAAAAACTTTACAGAAAGAATCATCTGCAATTCTCTAGATGTTGTTGGATTTGAATTCCTATCATCTTTGACCACTGTGTTCCCTGAATTAGCTGAAGCCAAACCTATTTTAGGCTACCTGCCATTACATTCATGGATATGATACTAAGGGGGAAAGCAATTTGCAACCCTCCAAATGTTGGATTTTCCCTTCTATGAACCTGCTTCAGAATCAAAAATGACATGATTTTCACTGAGGACACGGTGAGCTAGAAGCCCCTGAAGGGCCAGAGGCAGCCTTACAGCCAAAATTGGTGGCCAGTGGATGGAGACAGCTGCCACTCAAGAGTAGACTGTAGGAACAGGAATTTTTGCAGTTGGCTATGAGTAGAGCAGCTGGGTGTGAAGATTCCATCTATGCCCCATTCATCTCTCTCAGTGTAAAGGATATCATGGAAAAGGAACAAGTTCTATTTGATAAAACTGAAATTGATTTGAATTTAGATTTTAAAATGACAGGCTCCAAAAATATGGGGAAAATGATATACTAGATATACAAATGAAACAAGTTGTTTTAATAACTAAAAAAGAGACATTCGAATAATCTGATAATAGATAAGTGATTATTAAGTTATAAATAATGAGTGACTTAGTTCATTTTCCTCTACTGTATTTACAAATTTTAAAATTTTGAAAGACTTGGTGAGGGGAAAAAGACACCACATTCTAGGACATTATTTGAAGAAAATAAAGATCAAGATAGTTAAAAGTAAAGAGAAGGAATATAAAGTTGTTTTATTTGATCAAGATAAAAAAAGATGTTATTTCTGGCAATCTTTAATGGACTTTGCTGACCAAGATAAGTCAAGACAAGTCTTTAGATAAGAGATGTGACATAGGATGAAGAGATTGTAAATTGTTAAAATTGTTTAAACTTATTGTGACACAGGGGAAAGTAACTTCTTTATACTTTTACTTTCTTTGCTATGTTTTTTCTTGTTTCTTCTTCTATGTGCATGTGTATTCTTTTCTACACTTTTTATTATTTGTAGCTTGTAGTAGTATTGATTTGCATAACCTTAATAAAATTATTTTGAAAAAGTAACCAAAGATGACCTAACTGAAACAGCTTTACTTGGCAATTTCTAGATTTTTTCATTTCTATCTCTGTGTTCTGGAAGACAGAGGAACTGTGAAATTAGCTTTTCTTCCAGATCCACAGTGGGTCATGGATTATTCTGGATACTTACATAAGAATTACCAAGATCCACTAAGATACCGTAACTTTAAACATATTATGCTTTAAGGCCCAACAAGCCATCGCGTACTCTACAAATCCAGACACTGTGGCTTGTACATCATGGTTTATTTCTTCATAATGTGAACTCTCTTAACTGTACTTTATTCAATAACCCATATTCAAAACCCATGTAGTTTGCTAATGGGACCGTGTGTCTTGCAAACCTAGAAATCTGGGTTGAGAGTTTCAATTTTAAACACAGATCCTCATGCAATATCCTCCCCTCCCCCCCCTTCTCAAGTTATGGGATGCTCTCAATAAAGGTTCTCCCCCCCATAACAATCTTGACCCAGATGATGCCTTGCCCTAAAACCCCTTCTCCTCTTCCATCAGCTTCTGACTGGAGTTTTGCCAACCCAAAGAAATAAGAAACCACGAGCAGAAAAGACACAAAGCCTTTTTGACTTGGCAGAGCCCAGCTGGCTGCGGGGCGGCGGAGAGGCGCGCTGCTGCCAACTTCCCCACCCAGCCACCCACGCACCCACCCCACCCCGGCCACCGGGCACACGCTTTGGAGCCCCGCGCATTCCCATTGCGAGAAGTAAACCCTTTCCGGTAGGCAGGGGACGGTGACGTCTCTCTCAGGCCCTTTCCACTATAAGGCCCGCGAGCTCCCAGGCGGGCGAAAACAATGAGCCAAGCGGAACATTGCCAGCCAGCCAGCTAGTCAGCCAGCCAGCAGTAACCTGGCCGCCACTCTCAGGGCTTTATGCCAAAGGAGAATTTTGCACGTTATGGACGGCCAACTTCTCGGTGCAAGAAAGCAAAAGGAGTTGCCGGAAGAGCTCATCATCAACTCCCCAGCAGCGCTTCAGGGGACAACATTTTTTCAGCATGACGCGCCACAGAGGCGCACCCAGCCCGCCGGCCCCGCCAAGGCGCCTCTTCCCAAACCCCGCGGGGTCCGGGTTGGAGGGCAGCGCGGGCCACCTTTGCCTCCTCTTCTTCCCCCCACCCCTCCTTTCTCTCGCCCCTCCCCTCGCCCCATTAAAGGCACCGCGCGCGCTTGCGGAGCTTGGGTTACCTTCTTTGGCTTTTTTCCTCCTGGCCAGGGTGCCTCCGAGCTTCCCGAGGAAGGAGTCGTCTTTCTTCCGGGAAGGGGGCGACTTGGGGGTCGGAGACTTGGGGGAAGAAGGCGATTTCTGAGGAGAGGTTGCCATGGCGGTGACTCCTACCAAAAGGCGGCCGAGCCTGGTGGTGGGGGGGGAAACGAAAGCGGAGAGGCTTCGCTCGACTCAGTCACCAGCGGGCTCGTCCCTATTCCCAACGGAAGCGGAATTATTCCAAGCATCTGAGGCTGCTCTGGGTCTGCTGTTCCTTCCCTCCCTCCCTCGGTCCTCCTTCCCTCCCTCCCGCGCACACCCAGAGAAGGAGGTTTTTCACCCTCTGGCAACCACGCGCAGAGCCCCGATCGGCTCGGTTGGACAGCCCGCCGCTGCTCGTTTCCCGCTTCCCTTTCCTCCGTCCGCAAAGCCCAGAGATTGAGAGCGTTCGAGGCTTCGGCTCTGCCCCTGCATCTTCGGCGGGACCCGCAGGTTGACTTAAAAGATCCTGGGCAAATATACCAGGAAAAGGTCCCGGCGTGTCCACCGCCTGCTTAGGCATAATGTGTGCCCCCCCCCATCCTACTACCTTAAGGTCTACTACTACTTGACAGGAAAGTCGGTGGAGTTGAATCTTAAGTTTTCAACTCTTCACGTCTAAGCTGTTCGTTTCACTTGCAAAAAGGGAAGATCCTGCGTGTCTCCGTTCTGAATAAAGTAAACTCGTGTCTTTAGTTGCACTTGCAAGGGGCGACCGCGCAATTTAGCAAGCTTCGGCCCTTTCACTCCTCCTGGGATGATTTATTCCACCATACCTGCATCACCGGCCGGGACACTTTCAAAAAGTAGCGTAGTCTGTGCTCCCGGAAAACATTTCCCGCGACGTCATTTCCTAGCCCAGTTTCAGTTACGGATACTGCGTCTGTATTCTTTGATCAATATCAAAACTAAGTCTTTGTTCCACTCGATAAATTATATCAGGGGTCTCCCACCTTGACAACTTTAAGACTTGTGGACTTCAACTCCCAGAGTTCCTCAGCCAGCTTGGCTGGCTGAGGAACTCTGGGAGTTGAAGTCCACAAGTCTTAAACTTGCCAAAGTTTCTTTCCACTCCACAGCTCATTTTTATTCTCCACCCCGGTGGTGGTGGGGGCTGGATCGGCGAGGATACAGAATGTGCCGACGCCGGATCTTGAGTTAAGAATTCAAATGTCATGTTAGAGGAGGTGTTGAAAGGGGACTGGAAAAAGATGTTTAATGCAGCTTCTTTGATTTTGAAGGCTAAGCAAGCTAGCTAGCCAGGAAGTAACGGAACGCAAAGTTGAATAAAAGTGGGAGTTACTCTTTCTGCTTGTAGGAGGAGCTGCTTCACGTGGCACAAGTCTGTATGTCTGTGCTGCCAGCTGGTATTAAGCAACTGGGCCATTTCCGAGATGTTGGTAGGTGGGAGAAATCAGCCCAATAAAAGGTTGAATTTTATTAAACGTTTACATGAGACCATTGGAAAAGGTCATAAATGTGGTCAGATATCATTGGTATGTTGATATTACAGGCCAGCTTTAGGTTTCACCCCCTGGCTGAAGAAGTACCGTGGAGGTCCTTTCCTGGTATCTGAAGGTCTGAATGAGGAGAATCCGGGTTTAGGCCAGGGGTGAAATCCAGCAGGTTCTGACAGGTTCTGGAGAACCGGTAGCGGAAATTTTGAGCAGTTCGGAGAACTGGCAAATACTACCTCTGGCTGGCCCCAGAGTGGGGTGGGAATGGGGATTTTGCAGTATCCTTCCCCCAGGAGTGGGGAGGGAATGGAGATTTTGCAGTATCCTTCCCCTGCCATGCCCAGCAAGCCACACCCACAGAACCAGTAGTTTTTAACAAACTGGATTTCACCACTGGTTTAGGCTTGAATCTAGCAAGATCAAATCACTTTGGTTTTAATAGCATGCTGCTCATCATGAGTTACTTGAAGGAATGACACTTTCCCAGCTGTATCTAACCCATGGTTCCTCCTGGACTGTTAGCTCCTGCTCGGTGAACAATTGTGGCCATGAGGGCCTTTTATTTAGGGTTCACTTTAGATATCCAAAAGCAAATCTTTATAGCAAACTCTTCCTTGCAGACCACTCAGTGAAAGGCAATCAATTGTGTCCAAAGTTACTGAAACTAAGTAACGAAGGATAAATATTATCAAATAATTACAACTAAAATCACCATTTTTAGACTTTACTGATTAAGAATGGTGTGGTGTCCTAGTGGTGAAAACACCTGCCTCCCACTTGGAAGGTTGAGAGTTCAATCCTAGGTAGCAGCAGATGGTTTTCTCCTAGCCCCCCCCTCCCCCAAAAAATTGGTTGTGAACTCTGTGTGAGATCATGAAGAGCATCCGGCCAGTAAACGTTCAGCTCCATCCAGTCGTGTCCCCGCCCCCAACTCTACACCAAATTAAAGGATTACAGGGTCATAAAAAGAAATTATTGCCCTCGAAGATAATTGATGCTAGGAACTTTGTGGTTTACTGTATATAGTCAACAAAACCCTAATCTGCTAAACAGGGCCTTTGTTGCATTTACATCAAGTAATATGCTATTTGTATCAGAATCTGGTTAATTTCTTTCCCACCAGTCAGGAACCATAGATTTTTGCATGTAAAAGTTTTGTACAGTACTTGATAGTCTTAAGCAGAAGCAACAGTGCCTTTTATGCATATTTTACATAAACAAGTTTTTTTAAAATATTTCCATTTGGAATAGTAAACAAAGATGTTCAGAAACAACTATCCTGTTGTCCTACATCTGTCATGCAAGTTTTAAAAAACAAACTTACAAAAATAACAGTAAACCAATATTTTTTTAATTATTTGTTTCAGTACAAATAGCCTACTTAATCTCTTTACATCTTGTTCAGAATAAACACTTATATATTAAATTACAATGTACAAAGTACAAATATCTACCAGTTTTAACGTTTAATATGTATAGTGACTTAGTTTGCAAACACCTCTTATAAATTGCATTTGCTTAACAGCACACTGATTCCTTTTTGTTGCTCTTTATTTACAATATACATATACAGTATAATTTCTAATTAATTGTAACTGTTCATAGTTACAATGGCATTCCATTCACAAGGATACCATCCTCCACCTCAAGAATTCATGTAAAATGTTAAGTGGTATGAAGTGGTACGTATTTCAATCACTGAAAGATCTTTCATCATCCATCAACAAGATATGTTTACAAATGAGAAACACGGATCGAAGGTTTGTGTTTGTGCTGCGGTTTGTAACTATCAAGTATTCTTAGAATTAAAAATCCAGGAAGTAGAACACAAAAACCATTCTAGTATTACTTCCTCAGTGGAACTGTATTAGATAAGGCCCAGTTACTATTCAATCATTCTTTTTCCACAAAGGCCAATGCTATTTTTATATTACCAATTGGAACATTATTCCTTTCCCTTACAGTTGTACTGTGCAATAAAATGTTGATCCTAATTTATTTGATTGATTTATTTGATTTCTATAAGCCCCCCCCCCCCTTCCACAAGTGACTGGACAGCATACATTGTAATAATACATTACACTGTATTATGCTGGAAGGACAATTGTTTTCTGAGAACTTTGGAACATAGAATAACAGTTGGAAGTAACCTTGGAGGTTATCTAGTCCAACTCCCTGCTTGAGCAGAAGAGTCTATACCATTTCAGACAAATGGATGCCCAATCTCTTCTTGAAAGCCTCCAGTGATGGGGCACCCACAAAGGTAAGCTGTTCCAGAGGTTTAGTGTTCTCACTGTTAGCAACTGTATGCATCCTTCCGTATTTATATTTGTCAAGCAGTATAAATTTATAAAATATAGTTCTTTGGTTTATTGAAACTTCCTGTTTCTTCCAGAAAATACTGTTAGCATTCTTCTGTTTCTTTCCTCATGTTCCTTATTCATCAATTAGGCCCTGCTACAAATACAAAAGTTAAAAGTTAATATCATTTTTCTATTGCATTAAATAGCGCTTTGGATTTATTATATTTAGTATTAGTGTAACAAAAGTGGGGAAACCAGAATCAGGACCAGTTTTGTCTAGTTATGCTGTGGTGTCCATGAATACCATCAGACATGGAATATATAAAATGCTCACCAAGCATTTGTGAGCAGGTTGCCCACCTGTATTGCTGTATATGTTGACTTTTATACCCCATCAGGGATGCTGTTCAAGCAGGGATTTATAGACAAACTTGCTAAATGAACAATGTACAAAAAGCTGCCATTCATACACTGGCACAGACTTTCATTCAACAGTCAGTTCATAGTACCAACAGGAACATTTCTGAACCCATCCTTTGCCCGTAATCCAGATAATGAATGTTAAATAAAACCCTATGTAAGAATTATTTGATGAAGAGTCATTTCGAACTGTCTTTTCCCTATCCTACCAAATACCTGAATTGCTTTTAAATTTTCTTTAAAAATGATGGCTCAGAAGTTGATTGACTTTTTAGAACATATGCTCTAAAAACTTCCAACTCTGTTATTTAAATATACATTCAGTTTCAGTACCTCTCACACTACTTCCTCATGGAATAAGCAATGCTATGCAAAGAGCAAGAAGTAGAGAGTGAAGCAAATGAAAATCAGAAGGTAAAATGAAAATCTAACTAAATCTGGTTTACACAAACATGGGAGACCTTCAAACATGGGTTTGAAGGTCTCCATACCTTCAAACCCATGCTTTCACCAGATCATGCATTGCCTTTTGTATTTAAAACCTCTAATTTATCTATTTTTCATGATTCAGTTCCATTCAGCTCTTTGTGAAGACTGAGTTTCTTTATTTTCCCCTTGCTCTCAACCCATTTACCCTTTCTCTATATATTCCTTTTCTGATTTGATTCTCACTCACTTGATTTATTACAAAACATCTCAACTTTGTTCATACTGATTTCTCACTTTCATATTATTAGATTCATCAGCCTTTCATTCTTCACCACATAAGAAACAAATAATATTTTATTTTATTAAATGTGTTTGCCACCCATCTTACCATAGGGCAGTGACGGCTAATCTTTTTGCCATCGAGTGCCAAAAGCAGGGGGAGCGCGGGGGGGTCATGCATGCATGTGCCCACACCCATAATTCAATGCCCCCTGTGCCCCGCCCCCCCATGCATGTGAACATGACCTCACCCACACTTCCCCCGCTTTTGGCACACAACGGCAAAAAAGTTACTGGTGGGCCCAGTAGGCCTGTTTTTCATCCTCCCCAGGCTCCAGAGGCTTTCTTGGAGACTGGGGAGGATGAAAATGG